GTGGTGCTAAGTATAATATTACAACAGCATCAAAAGTTAAAAACGGTCGACGAAATATCCTGATGGGGATCTGCAGAAGGAATTTACAACCAACAGTATGGAAACAGTAAACCAGTGAGATGTACAAGTAGTGTATGCTGGCACTAACCAAGCCAATACCCTCCCACGACACGACTCTAGAATCTAACACCACCAAAAAAAACCAAAAATCAAAAAACTTCTAAACAATGAAAAATGAGAGAGAGGAGGAGTAGATGAGCAAATCCTAACAGGTTAGTAATTCTCTTTCCATTTCCCTGCCAACATCGAACATCTCAATCCTCACTCATATCACCCTCGGTGGGGGTTCAATTGAAGGACTTCAATGCTGAAAAGTAGAACTCGAAAAATCAAAAGACAATTGGTTCCCCTCTAAGAACAATTGTTTGCTAAGATAAACTTAAAATTGTATTTTGCAATAGCCAAACTGGGGGCAAATTGTAGGTTATTAGTCCCATGCACTAGTCACGCCAGCACCATAAGCTCCGCCATACCCACCAGAAGCATTGTAGTTATTGCCCATGTTGCCACCACCATAGTAGTCAGTACCACCTCGACTGAAGGACGATTCCCTTCGGAAATCACGAGCTCCAAAACGGCCTCCTCCCCGTCGATTTTTCCCATAGATTGATCTAGCTGCAACTCGGGACAGCCAAGCAGGGACTTCTTGGTTTGCTTCTTGCATCAAATCGGACAATGATCTTGCCAAGGAGGAATTATTCTCGTTAAAGAAGGCAGTTGCCAACCCAGTTTTACCTGCACGGCCAGTGCGTCCTATACGGTGGACATAATCATCAATGTCATTTGGAAGATCAAAGTTAACAACATGTGCAACATGAGGGATATCAAGACCACGTGCCGCTACGTCTGTTGCTACCAAAATTGGAGTCAGGCCACTTTTAAACGATCTCAAAGCTTGTTCTCGCTCCTGCAGCCATGGAAAATTAACAAAAAGAATTAAATTAATTTTACTTTTAAATTAGACACTCAGAATAAGGAGAACATTTAAAACATCGAGCTGAAGTGACTCTTAACATGTGGGTATGGGGCCGATTGAATTTCTTAGGCTATGACGACATGCAAGACGTAGAAAAATCTCAAATAATCATTTCTACATTCTACGTATGTTTATCTCGATATTTAGACTCACACAAGAAAGTAGAGGGATAGAGTAGACCTGAACTCCAAACCACACAGGAAAGTGGAAACGTGACCATAAATAAATTAACAAAGACATTATACAAACATATTGCAACAAATCTAGTAGTAGTCAATTCCAAAAGTGTTGCGTGTAGAACTGCCACTTTCAGAAGATCTGAAGCTAATTTGACATCTTTTAAAATATTCCTAACAGAGATGATATACTAAACTACCAATTTAAAACATAAAACCGCACAAAATGCACTATAATTTTCACTCAAAACGATATGTAGTTTGCTTTCTGGCTTTGCCAATGAAGTGCTAGTCTATTTGAAGTCCTTGGAATAGTGATTGCTAACAAAATAATCCATAACACTTCCAGCATGTGAGCAGAAATGAACAAACCCAGTTGATTACATAAAAACAAGAACCGGGAGAACATAA